GCCTCAGATGCTTTCACATCTGCAGCCGTCCCGCACTTTGCACGATGCCCCCTCCTTTTTTTTCCTCTCACACACTCACAAGCACCCCGTCTCTCCCTTGTGTATGCCCCGACTCGTCACCCCCATTATTTGTGATGAAAAGCCTCGGTAAGAGACAAGTACAGTAATAGTCCCGCTTCACTCACTCGCTTACACGCCCTCCCCTCTCTTGCTCTCTGTTGCCTGGTAGTAAGGATTGCAGTGTTTGGATGTCTGCAGTAATGCAGAGGAACTTGAACAAGTTTGTCATAAAAGTGAAGGAGGAGAAACAGAAAGGGAAGAGAGAGAGAGCGATGAGGTGGATGCTACATCAACCTCGTTAAACAGGGAGGGTTTTTTCAGTGGTACTTTGTGGATAAAACCGATGACTAGCTCTACTCTGTGTTTTTTTTGTTTGTTTTTTTTTTCCTTTTTGACCCATGTCTAGATTTATGATTTGTAAAAAGTGCAAGGTCCACGTGCTGCAGTTATGCCACCGTAATGACATAAGCTACCCACCGGACTCATCGGTCACGCCTGCCCGTTGCAGAACAAGGTTGGGTGAAGCCACAGTCCTTCCTCCCTCTGACCCTCCACATTGTGCTGAAACATCTTAAATTGTTGCTGACGCCGTGAGCAAATGGCCATTTCCTAAAATGAAAGGTGTAGCAGTGACTGACAGGCAGCCTGCAGTGCAGAAAGAGACATTTAGCCAGACTTGCCTAAGGTGCTTTGGCCAAGCAAAAACACGCGGCTCATTTATCTTCCCGACACCTCCTTAATGCGGTGCTAATCCACTCAGCTGGGCTGCACCGTAGCCCCATCACTGCTGTACAGTTCTCACATATACACTATGAACATATAACCCAGACAAACCAGATTTTAATGCAATGAAACACAAGAGGTTTGCCTTTTACGCATCACAGTTGACCCAGAGCAGGGTGAAGCTGATGGATTCTTGCCATCTTGAAGCTGTGATAATTGAAGAGGCGGGGAGTGGGTTAGAAAAGCAGGGGCCGCTGGACTGAGTGGTGTGAGGGGGGATTTGGTTTGTAAACACAATGGCTTTGTAACGGAAATCAATGTCACACAATCAAGCCAACACTGTAAAAGCTGCCTGTCCTGTGTTGGAAGCGCTTACAGGGTGAATCTGAGAGCAGATCCTTTCTGCACTGCACGTAGAAAATGTAGATATCAAATGAAAAGCTTGTTTACTATGAAATAACAGCCCACCCAGTAATTAGGCTGCTTCAAGCCTGGTTCTGTGAGGCTTGTTATTTCTGCACTGAATAACAAAGCTGAGGCCATGTGGGCCTGCTGTGTCCCTCCGCGGCGGTAAGGGGATAAGGTGCCTTTTTCACCAAACTGTGAGCAGCATGTTGTCCATCCTTCAGTCACTGATGCTCTCTCTCTCTCTCTCTCTTTCTCTGTATAGATAGTAGCTGCTATCTTGGCCATAGCAGGCATCGTAATGATGACCTATGCCGATGGATTCCACAGCCACTCGGTCATCGGCATTGCTTTGGTCGTGGCCTCTGCTTCGATGTCAGCGCTCTATAAGGTATTTGCTGTGCGATACTGCAGATTTTGGTATCGACGTGATATCAACTAAATCCAGGGCCAACATCGCCGATATCGATACTTTTAAACTATAGAAGCAGCTTATGATTTATGAGATGAGTCATCATCAATTTGCAAATTTATTTTCCAGAATAATTAGGTGATATAACAAAAACACACCTTTCAGCTACTTGTGCATATTGAAGCTGTTTGTCTCTGAAACACTTTGGGTTCTGTTGTTTCAGTGTGCTATAGACTATACACAAAAAGGACATTTTTCATATTGCATGTTTGAGGTATACTTTTCCACACAATTCAGTGAGCTACATACTGAACTTGGAGGACATTCTTTTATGCTAGTATCGATCCGATACAATGCCAACGTTGGTATCGATACTATCGGTATTTAGATCGATCCGCAAAACCTCTAGGATTTGATTGCATTTCGTCAGTGTGTATTGTACCGCTGAGCATAAAGTTCCATTGTAGTGCCACTTTTATTCACGGTGGAATAAAAAACTAGGTAAGCATGCTGTATGTATGGACACGTCTCTGTAGGTTGCCCTGTCTAGCTCCCTTCTAATTATGTAACCAGGTGGCAGAAGACAGAAGGGGATTATGTAGTGTGAGACTCACCTGCCAGAAGTACGCAATACCTACGCATTTGGTTGCAGGCCTCAGGCTGTGTTACCCTGATCAAGGGGGTTACAGGACAGATATTATATAGCTATTTTTGATGGGGTCTGGTCTCCTTTGCCCTGCTGTCTGTGCCGCCCTAATGTGATAAACAGACAGCAGTGGCCCTGGGCCAGAGACATGGCAGATACTTGGCAGGCTTTGCCCTCTGTAATATACCTCAGCTCCAGAAGAGGGCAGATTCGATGTACGCATCACTCTCCTTCCTCTTTATTCTCAGGTGCTCTTTAAGATGGTGCTGGGAAGTGCCAAATTTGGAGAGGCTGCACTCTTTCTGAGCATCGTTGGAAGCACCAATTTTGTTTTCGTCAGCTTTGTGCCAGTCATGCTGTATTTTACACACGTGGAGTACATCGAATCACTCAGAGACATCCCATGGGCCTACCTCTGTGGGGTCGCAGCCCTGCTTTTCGGTATATGGCGACAGAGCAGTAATGTGCACCGGCTGGTTGTGTAATCTACAAATAGCAACATTCTCATTGTGTAGTCCGCTGCTGCTCTAATTCTGCTTTGTTCCTACAGCTTTCAACGTCCTGGTGAACTTTGGCATCGCGATAACTTACCCGACATTAATTTCCCTTGGCATTGTCCTAAGTGTTCCTGTAAACGCCAGTAAGTCTCTTGGCTTTCCTCTAAGAGTTCTAGCTTTTTATATCTGGTCACCATTTAATATTTGATGGCACTGGATTCTCCCAAAGGTTTCTATCTATATTTGATGAAAGACTCCATTTAATTTTCAAACCAGGCTCCCTCTCGATGTACAATTAACCATTTTTATTTCATAAACACGCACAGTTACAATTTACATTCATTTACATAAACCCAGTTGTTTTACAATATTTGCAAATTCCCTTCTATTGACACAGTACCTTTTTATTTATTTGTTTTTTCACAGTGGTAGACCACTACACGTGTGAAATTCACTTTAACTCGGTGCGCCTCATTGCTGTGTTCATCATTTGCTTGGGTTTCCTAATGCTGCTGTTACCAGAGGACTGGGACCAGTGCATTATCCAGCTCAGCCAGAAGCTGCGCAAACGCGACGAGCCAGCAGAGGGCAGCGGAGAGGCCGGAGCTGGCACAGGGCTCAACTGGAGAGGGAGAGCTAGGACCTCCATGTCAACATATGCACTTTGAATATATGAAATATCGTCACACATATACATGAGGTGGGAGGGAAATGAGGGGTGTTAACCCACGTGATCTGCCTGGTTCCTTGCCTTTTGGACTGCCCTCTGATCTGCAGCTTTTCAACTGAGGGGGAAGATGAAGGAGGCTCAGATTGCGTTTCATTCATTTGGCATCATTCCTGCTCACAAGTTAACCAAGTCAGTGCATGGACTTCTATCATTTGTAATCCTTAAAATGATCAGGTATAACTGATTGAACCATGCATTTATTTTGCTGTACCTCTTAATCATTCCTCTGAACCTCGCCTCTGGGAAGACTCGCCAACTTGCCTGATATATTTCAGTGAGGAGGAATAAAGAGGCAGACATCTCTTAAGGCAGCCCTAACACCTTGTAGACCAGCTGGCTTTAACATGTACACATTTACACACCTCTAAGATCCAAAGAAGAATGCCTACAAAGCTGAATGCCTGAAAACAGAACACGAGGCCCGGTAGCCTTCTGCGGGTGTAAACTTGGTGACAAATTCCTGCCTTTTGTGCACTTGTACATAGCTATATTTCACACCTTGGATGTCCCAGAGCTGTGGACCTGTGAAGCTCATCTGGTGTGAAGGGACCTGTCTGGACGTCTGAGGATCAGTCTGAGCTGAAGAAGCTTTCACAATGTGTGTCTCTCTATTCACTCTTAGAGAAGAGGTCAGTTTCATTTCATCCGCACTGATTGGCTCCCCGTGGTTATGTGCTTTCCTTGGGCTAGACTCCCACTTCTGTCAACACTCACTCATTGTTCGGGCCCCACAGTTTAGTCACGCAATATCTACATTCGCTTTCAATGCATTATATCATTGAGGTGTTTGTCAAACAGTGGGATTGCTTTCAATCCATCCACAAAGCAGTTGCCTAACATTTGCTTTATGTTGCCAGCACACCAGTAGGAAATAGTGTGAACATTTTATTAACCAAGCAATTTAAATAAACACATTCAAATATTGTTAAAAGCTTTGATATCTCAAAATAAGACTGACAGGTTAATGGAACTACCCCTTTAATTACTTTAAACACAGCTATCTCTGAGCCTCTCTTTTAACATTTTAGTATCATATGCACACAGACAAATGTGCAGCAGTTCAATTACATCGTTTCATTTCGCGTGGGAATTACAGACTGTGGAAAACTGTCCCACTGTGGCTTGAGGAGAGGAGTGCTGACATATGGCTCTTCTAGTGATCAAAAAAAAGAAGAAGAAAAAAAATAAACCTTTGTCTGCTTTCGTTTATCACATTTCTGAGGCAAGCATCACAGCCACCGTGGTGTGGTTGACCCCCGAGAGAAACTGAGGTGCACGCCTTGTAAAGCAACGGTGGAAACTCTGCCTTGTTGTGAATGTACGAACATCACTCGACCACACGCACGCTCGCAATGTGCTACCTGTTTTTTTACAGTGCCACCACAGACTGCTGCACAGAGACTGTTTAATACTATCCTTCTTATACTCATCTGAATGATTTTCTTTTTCCTCCTTTCTTTATTGAGACAAACTTGACACATTTATATTTGTTTGCATTTGGTTGCTGACTTAACCTTGAGAAGACAGCGAGTGACGTCTTGCAGAACGAGCATGCACGTACTGTACGAGCAGATGCAGCCGAAAAAGTCCACTTCACTGCCTTTTCTTTGTTTCGCAATAGAGTACATTAGCACTGTTTCCCATTGTCATTCTGTATGACAATAAATAATAATAATGTATTCCTCTGGAATTATTGCTAGACATAAATGTAAACCTTTGTAAGGAATGACGATTTTTACACTGAGATGCAACATATGATTATCACATTTGAGGAGGAGATGTTCCGAACATGAATAAATGACGGGTTTATTAGAGCTACTGTTGGGTGTCTTCAAGTGTAATCACATGTACTATATAAAAATATTTCTTTTCAATACATTTCCTTGTCGAGGTTTTTTTTTTCTTGCCCCCTCTGCAAAAAAAATGTACAGTTCATCAAGTAAACAACTGAGTGACAAACCAAACAATTTGGCAAGGTTTAGCAAGTGTTGGGTGAGACAGCACACTTAAAATTACTTAAAAAAATATAAAATAAAAATCAATAAACCTGGAAACCAATTTAGAAGTACACCGCTTTTTTTTTGTTATTTATATAAACAACTGTAGTCTTGGTTACAAATCAGTCTGATTTGAGCTTATCAGTCTGAGTTATCCAATAAAGCCAAACTAGAATCAACAATTAGCTTAGCATGCAGGTATCTGTGGAAACCTAACCCAAACAGGCAAGGAGGAGATGATGCAGACTCCACACAGAAAGGTGCTGGAGACTTTGGATTGTCCAGTGACTACTTCCATTTTTTTATTCTAGGACAAATTAATTATTTGTTAGCTTTGATTTTTTTTACTGATCTTCTGTGATAATAACGTCAGTTTGCTTGGGTTGAAGACTGGTGGTCAGACAAAAACAAAAAAAAGGAAGATTAATCAGAAATTAGGTCAAAATAGGATGGACATTTCCATTTTTCTTACATTTTCTTGACCAAACAATCAATTCATTGCCGGATAAAATAAAAATAATAAAATAGTTGTTAACTGTGGTCTCGTGTCTGATGCCACAGGTATCCTGACTAAGCAATATCATGCTCAACTCTCACTGTTATCTGGCCATAGAAAAAAGTGGCCTGCCGCTCCTCGGTCACAGCAGAAAAGGGTAGTCTGCTGCCCTCTTGTGGCCGGGAGGGGACCTGCAGGCAGTCTGCTCTCCTGTCACTTGCTGCATCTTGCCACATAGACCTCTTTTGAGGATGACACACACTGCACAGATGTTTCTTAGACTGATGTTTGAAGTCGGTGCTGACAGTGAAAATGGAGTGAGAACACAATAATCTGTTGCTCTCAGAGCTGGAGGCCAGCGCGGGATGGGTGGTGGTCAGCGTGCTGGGCTCGCTGCTCCTTCCATCGTCTCCCTCTGGTCTGAGCTCATTTCCCCTTCCCACTACGCTCCCCAGACGAGTGCTTATTTTTTGCCTGAGTCCCCGAAGAGCGTTTTGGAAACGCTTGCTAAGCAGTGCGTACAGTAGAGGATTGATATCAGAGTTCAACAGCACCAGCCAGTAGGAGAAAGTAACAGCAGAGTTTGGGACGAGGGTGGACTGACCTGAAATTGCAGTTTCTGTGGCCTGAACAAGGGCCACGCTTATGTAAGGTGTCCAGCAGAGGAAGAAGGCTGCAATGACCATGAAGAGCCGAACCACACCATGGTGGCTGTGATGCTGCTGGGAGTTCTGGAGAGGAACTTGGGAGGCACTATGAGCCAGGAAGGAGAAAAAGCGCCTGGACGCTGACCTTCTCTGCTCTGTGGTAGCTTCAGGAAGAGCATCCTTGATATAATCTTCTTCCCCTGTACCAACTTGAGATACAAACTGTCCACTTATGTGGTAGATCAGTGTCGATGGGGTGTGGTGGCACCCGCTGTGCTGATTGGAAGAATCCCCAGGAGCATAGTCTGGGAGATTCCTGCAGCGCTGCACAGAGTCCTCGAGAGTGTGGATCCTCCTGGCGTGGCTGCGGGCCACCTTGACAATGTTCACGTAGCAGAAGAGGATGACCACTGCAGGTAAGACGTACGAGAGGAAAGCCATGAAAGCGGTGTAACTAGGACTGCTGGCCCAGTTCACTGCACAGCTGTACATGGGGTCCACATAGCTGACTGAGCTCCAGCCCAGCAGTGGGGGGCAACTGGTGGCCAGAGCCTGCAACCAGATCCACAGGACCACAGCACAAATTCTCCACAGAGTCCAGCGGGAGCTGTAGCGCAAGCAGTCTATGATGGAGTAGTAGCGGTCGAGGGCAATGGCAGCCAGGGTGAGTACAGAAGCTGTGCAGTACACAGAGGATGTGTAACCCACATACGAACAGAGGTCCTGTCAGACAGAGAGACACAACCTCATCACACGTGCACACAGTGGAGCAAAGCAAAAACGCCGTTTCCGGTGTTGTGCCAAAAACTGATTGACCTTGTTCACGAGAAAATGCTAACTTCCTGGTTTGAGACCGGATGTGGGGTTGTGCATTCCCGGTAGCTTTACTTTGCGGTCAATTGCTACTGCGAAGATATACTCCAAAATCATGTCCAAAACTCGAAAACGGAAAGATCGCGTTAAGT